AGAGTCAAGTGAAAGTGACAATGTCCAAAAAACTTATTTTGACGAAAACAAACAAATATCATTTAATTATCCACAAGAATTTGATCAATTTTTCCCATCAGAGTACAACATTCTTGGCTTAGACTCATCAAATCAAATCCAATTTCCACTAACAAGCTATGGTTTTAATAAATGGCAGTCAACAGATAAATTAGAGACTCCTCCTTCTGTATCTGCATATGGAGAGCAGTTGACGAGAAAATTAGAGAATTCTTCTGAATTAGTTGACTATTCTGTGCATTCAGTAGAAAATGTAGAAAATCTCAATATACTGATTAACGAAAAGCAGCAGTCTGAAAAGTTAGTTAATTTAGATTAAGAATCATTATGGAACCTTATAACATGAAAGTTTGTTACTAGTTACATAGTAGGTTAGATATAAATTTATAAATAGGTTATATTTTAGGTTAAAATCTTATAAGTAAATTGATTAGTAAAATTCATATATAAATATATAATTTGTTTTAAAACTAATTTTATTAAATAAATAAGATTACTACATATCTTTTAAAGCGTTTTTCAGTTTTCATTAAGAGTATTTTATTATTATTTTTATTATTATTTATTTAGATTTATAGAAAATTTGCAGAATCCAAATTAGAACTTTAAATCCATTATTTGACAGGAAATATTAATAGGAGTATTACATAAGTTGTAATATCAAAAACAGTGTTGATAAAAAATTTGCTGGCACATAGTACTTGTCGTATATATGAAGTTAAACTTTGGAAAAGTTTAAATTTATTTTTTTTTTGTAAAATTTATTAAAAGATCATTTCCGAAACTTAAGCTACACTATGTCAATTTTGACCTACACAGTAATGATCTTGGGCGTTGTATAATAACTGTTAAAAAATTCCTGAGCTATTCAAATATTATCATATTAGTTTCGCTTTTAACAACCTTCTGCTGCCTTAAGAAAATTCCGAATTCTTGAATTTTGATCATCTATTGTATCTGTTGAAGAAAAGTCAATGTTTAAAGTCAATCTAAACTTTATTTTTCTAAAATTTTAATTTAAACTTACCACATGTAATAGAAATACCTCTTTTTTGTACAAGAGGAAGCACAACACATACTAAATTATTACTACACGGTATAATTGACCATTTATCTTTTTGGGCACATTGAGCAAAATCTTTTCCTATACAAGCTTGGTTACCAACATTACAAGGAGTATTCCTTGTAATATCCTTAAATTTTTTTTAAAGCTTTTGAGCTTCTTGTGTGTTCTTTTTGCGAAAACATTGATCATTATCAGATATAACTATGTTAACAAAAAAAACCATGAAAAAGACAATAAAAAATTTAACAAAATATGTCCATATTTTCTTTAAAAATAATTCTTCAAAAATGAGTAAAAAAGAAATCTGCACCGGGAATCATCGAAAAAATTTTTCTTAAATTATTTTTTTTTAGAATTACCTATTTTTCGTATTGTTAGTACCCATTTCTATATATGTGATAAATTTCTTAAAATTTTATACATTATAAATAATATCTCATTCACAATAATTCAATTTATGCCAAAAAATAATTTGTCAATCATTTATGAATTTTCGAACCTATTATTTTTTTAAAATATTATAATAATCAAATATTTACCTGTCATTTAACTTAATGTACTTTTTAACAAACACAACTCAAAGTAATCAGATAACATTAAAGTCACTACATACGATTTAAAGAAATGTGGTGGATCATTTTGAGTGAGTTTATAGACGATTACTAAGGCATGTTCATATGTATTTCTAAATGCTACCAAAATTAATTGCATACAAAGATATACAGAAATTATAATTAATTACACTCTTTCTGTTCTGATAGCATCTACAACGTGGTGAAAATCTTAATCCAACAACCCTACTAATAGAACAACAACATCCCGATCAATTCCAACCACAAGGCTCCATTTCTTTCTTTTGCTGACGACAAAGTAATCATATTGAATGATGCATATATGCACATGTCTTAAGAGCAAATGTTTTTTTTATGAAAAAAAAAAAAATGCTATATCTCAAAATTTCACCAATTAAATTGTTCTGGGTATCTTAACAAAAAATATTCCTTGCAGAATTTTACATATACAATTACTTTAATATTGATGATAATTAAAGTAAATTATGTTTTAATATGTATATTTGTTATTATGATGGTGTGTGAATTCACGTATGTCTGTACCAAAACCCATACCAATTGGATTAGTAAAGTGTTGAGTCATAAACGGTCCAATTGGCACTGGTATACGGACCAACATAAGCCAAAAATCTGTGCTACTTCGAGCCTCTTATGTACAAAATCCGGGTTTGATCCGTGCTATTCTGAGCCAACCCATACAATTACAGTATATTTTTCTTATAGGGTAAACGAGATTACAAATAGAAGAAATAAAAATTTGGAAGTATTATCGCCAAATGGGGATTGCTCAAAATCCAGATTTACTGTAAGGTGGAGCTGTAAATTGGAATTACGACAGCTTTCTAGCATTAAAAATATATTTCAAAATTGTCTACTGCTTAATTTCTATAAAACTTAATCTCAGTTTGATTAAATTGAAATTATGGGTGCTCTCAAGCGCCTTAATCAATTGGCCGGGATAAAAAATTTAATTAGCGGAGAATAGTCAAGTGAGTTATCAT